TATACATATGTTGGAAATTCATTTGTTGGGTTTAGTATGTCAACCATTGGATATATATACATATAATTGTTGGTGGACTTTAGAACTATAATCATGTAACCAGTTTGTTGTTTCATCACACACACACACGTATATGTATATGTATATATTGAAAATGTGTTAATGTCGATTATGTGCATGAGGCTGCGTCCTTTAGATAGGAGGACGGCCATGTCATTTTCCTGCTACTTGTAGAGTCGGGGGTGTGACACCTCATCATTGATATGATTTGCACCACGATTATTTCTCAATTTTGTGATCAATGAGTTAGCTGTTCAAGTTGGTATCTTAACTCTAAGCTTTTTTTTTTTTGCCTCAACAGTTAATCAAACAAGGAGCTCCGTAGGCTAGAGATCCAACCCACGTCTCTCTCTATTATCTCGTTTACTTCCTCAAGTATTGCAGAGTCCTCGTGGACGAACCTGGAGTACCCTTTAGTTTACATTTTCCGGTTTGCGAACTAATTGATTGAAGACCGATCTTGCGGCCGTTATATGGAAGGCCAAATCAATAGATTATACCGTTCTTTCTTTTGCAGTCGGGAAATTTCCAAGATAGAACAACGCACCCTTTGTTGGTTGACATTTGTCAATTAGTTGTCCCTTTTCCTCAATGTGTCGTCGAACGATTGACAATTGATGTTGACGACCATGATAGTTGAGATTTATCAATTAGCTGCCCCTTTTACTCAATGTGTCGTCGAACAATTGACGATTGATGTCGTACAACATGAATTATTAGTTGAGATTTATCAATTAGTTGTCCCTTTTTTCTCAATGGGTCATCGATTCATTGACAATTGATGTTGTGCGGTGCAGAGCCCCACTTGCAATAGAGAGAGAGATTGACACAACAATGAACACGGCCTTTGTTTTTGGGGGGAAGAACAGCAGAAGTGTCAAAAGTTGTGTACGGAGCTCACTTTGGTGCCAAAAATTTCATTTGGATCACTTAAGTGCCAAATCGGAGGAAAAATGATCACTTTGATGCCAACGGCGAGAGATTCTGGCCAAATTAATACGTGGCATTTATAATTAAATTTTTAATCTTAGTTGGATTTTTTTTTAAATTAATCTACGTGGCATTTCCACGTATATATTTCGATTTTTTAAATACTTTTTTGATTTTTTTTCTTTTTTTTCTACTTTTCTTTTTTTCTTTTCTTTCTTCTCCCTTTGGTCACCGCCGGTGACCGGAGGCCCGGCGGGGCCGCCGTGGCCTGGGCGACGGTCGGCCTCGCCGGATCTGGCATGGGGAGCCCTCGCTGGGGCTCACCCTCGCCCATGCGAGGCGAGGCCAACCTCGCCGGGGCTTGCCCGTCGTTGCCCAGGCGAGGGTCGGCCGGGTCTCACTTGTGGCGGGTGGCGGCGGCCTCGTTCGGGCAAGGCCAGGCGGCCGGTGGCCGGCCTCCGGTCACCGTCGGTGACCAAAGGGAGAAGAAAGAAAAGAAAAAAAGAAAAGAAGGAAAAAAGAAAAAAAAAGGAAAAAAGAAAAAAAAATTATTTAAAATAAAAAATGCTGACTGTATCTCCGGCGAGCCACATTGGCTTCAGAAATTAATAAAAAAATGTCACGTCGGATTTCTGGCCAAACTGACCGGAGTTGGCACTTAAGTGATCGTTTTTCAAAAATTTTGGCACTTAAATGATTCAAATGAAACTTTTGGCACCAAAGTGAGCGCCGTACACAACTTTTGGCACTTCTAGTGTCCTTCCCCCTTTGTTTTTGTGCACTTGTGCCTGTCGTCGTCGCTCCTTATAATATGCGTCCCTTTTTGGTTTTTTGTGGAGTGATTTCTTTCGTTGGTGGGCTTTTGTTATTAATAAAATTCTTTGTGGTGCAGAAGAAAAGTGACCCTTGCTTTTGATGAAGTACATTAAATATATACACAGACATATACATATACATATACATATACATATACATATATATATATACATATATATATATATATATATATATATATATATATATATATATATATATATATATATATATATATATATATATATATTGCACCCTTTAGGTTTATAATCAACAGAATGATCTTGCATATGCCTGTGTAGACAAAATTTTTACGTACAAGTAAAATCATAGAAAAGTCATACAATGAATGTTTATTGTGTTAACGTGTAACATCCACGGTTTTGGTCCATGTATCGATCATGGGAAACGGCCAGGGAATCAGTGTGCCGATATTGAGGACTGGTCATGAACCGATCGGCCCGGTCAGAAAGGGCGAGTGAGGACCAACCATGGTCCGATCAAAGGATCGGCCACAAGTTGGCCAAGGGATCGGCAGTGAATCGATCCACTAATCACGTAAGTCGACCCAAGCTATTCGGCACTGGATCGGCCACTTGACCATGAGGGTCGATCATGGGACGATCACGCACCGTCACGGATCGATCGACGGACGGTCATGGATCGATTCCACGAGGTCATGCATCGGTCGCGGGTGATTCCGCTCGGTCATGCATCGGTTACGGGCGACCATGGACCGATTCCGTGCGACCGTGCATCGGCTGCGGATCGATCGATTCCACGTGATTACATGATAGCCGAAGGTCGAGCACGGATCGGTTATTCTTGACCATGGCTCGGTCATGAACCAAGTGACTCACCAACTTAGATGGCAAGGAATTATGTGGCAACTTAGGTGGCAAGTTACTTTAAGTAATCAATGTGGGCATTTAATGAAGAAGATGAATCACCCTCTTAGGTGACCAAGAAGAGATTTGATAATCATTGCCATGAGATTTGGCTTAGAGAACAAGTTAGGCTAAGTCATCATTATATGATGACTCATTAGCCAAATGGACTAATAGGAAAAACACACCAAGGATCCTTAATCATTTCCTAGGACCTTAGGGTGCTACATAACTAAGATAGCCAAGTCACTCTAAGAAAGTTCATTGGACCACTTGTTAAGGCATTTAATGAGGGAAAGGCCTATAAATAAGGCACCACCCCCCTTCATTCTCACCCCCCTTAGCTCACTTCTTCTTCTCCTTTCCTTTTGCACCTCTCTCCTTCTCGACTTTGCTTGTCGTTTCCCTTCACCATTCGACTTTGGACCGACGTTAATGCGTGTCAGCTCAAGCCACGAGTCATGTGTCGCGCTCGATTCATCAATTTAGCTTTAATATTATAAGCCATGACACACATACACACCTGTATGAGCAGGCTTTCGGGTTTTGTTTGCATTGGCTAACAAACAAAGATAACAATCTAGCTTGCGTGAATGCTTGTTGTGTGGTCACAAAAAAGAAATAGCTGTCGCCAATGGATTTTGGTGACATTGCCCGGTGGATTCTAGATGCCTAGCTAGAAGCTTCTGAGAGTGTGGGATGCCTGGTGGATTCCGGATGCCCAGCCTGAAGCTGAAAGCCCTTGAAAGTACGAGATGCTTGGTGGATTCCGGATGTTTAGCCTAAGGTTAGAAGACCCTGAAAGTATGGGAAGAATCGTGTGAGACGGTTAATGAACATTTGATGCATGTTGATGTGTATTGTTGTTAAGTTTGTTGATAAGTTGAGGGTAAATCGTGCCTTAACAGTAAGTCGAAATTGATCACCTGCATATAGTCGAGGTACAATAATAGTATTGCTATTGATTTGTCATTGATGTTGTGGTGCGAGTAATGTTAGCATGCTGGGTTCGACAATGAGACGTCCTCTTAACTCAGGATTAGTGATTTTATTTACCGAGTCTTCGACTCACTCCGTTGTCTTTTCAAACTTGTAGGTATGGATGTCTTACCTTCTCTTCGTCATGGTGTACCGATTTTGGAGTTGCAGCCTTGTTAGAGGAGATAGGAATCCCCCGGCCTATGTTTTTGGATAGGAGCATATTGTCAACAAGAAGTACCCATAGAAAAAAAATGGACTTATAAATGTACTGAGGCAATATGGAAGTATTGTGTTATGTATGGTGTTTTCCTGGCTGCTTGTTTGTTGTGTTGTCCAGGTGTTTGTTGTTCTACACGCTTCCACATGATTGTAACGAAAAGATAAAAAAGAGCTAGGTCGGCGACGCACCTGGAACGTCGCACCAATAACCCCCAAAGTGAGGTCGTTACATAAAGTACATGAATGAAATAAAGATGGGTGCATCGCACGAGCAAAAATGACTAGTAGTAAATAAGGGTTTATAAAGACAAAAAAAAAGGGATCGAGAGAAAGACGATAAAGTTAATGTTGATACAAACCTTTCGGATATGACTCGTGAATTAAATTAAGGTAAAATCACTTTCAATCGTTCTATTAATTAACTATCACTTATTGCATCGATTAATAATCTGATTTTGATAGACTTGTAATATTCTTACAATATTGCTTATTGATATATAATGGCTATTTGTCAAGGGATGAGAAAAGCATTGCAAAGAAAGGGAGGAACGAGTCGCCAGACCTAACCAATTTTATATTCTTCTCATCTGGACGAAAAGTCACAAGTAGTATTAGGTCTACATTTAACCAATTTTTATGTTCTTCTAATCTTGACGAAAAGTCACAAATAGCCTTAGGTCTACACGGATTCAATTAATAAGATCGATCCGGTGACGTGACAAATCCCAAGATGATATGACCATGAATGGAATTAATACTTAAGCACCGTAAATGGAATTTTTGGACATTCATTGGATCTAAAGGTGGATCGAGTCATGCCAATAATGTGATGACAGTTCAAGAGTCACTAAGCACAGTGTGGAGTCGAAACTACGCCTCTAATTGATTGCAACCAGCAAAGCCATGACGTCGATTTCCTCCTTGCCGTTCAGGCATCTCTCTCTGCTTTCTCTTCTTTCTAGTTCCATACAAATAAAGAATAACCAATGTCTCACAAAGAACGGCAAATATGCCAGCACAAAAACGTATACAACCAAGAAGTCTCACAAGAACGGCAAATATGCCAGCACAAAAAAGTATACAACCAAGAAGAATCTGCCCCACCTCACAACACGACGATACATAATAATCAGCAGAAAAGGCGTCGTGCCTCGTCACCGTAACTTCAAAAACAGTCGCAGAACTTCCAAAGCCCTCACTTGAGCAGGGGAAATAATGGCGATGACCCATGCCGAGCTCGTGTTCATCCCAACCCCTGGCATGGGCCATCTCAAGGCAATGGTCGAGATGGCCAAGCTCGTCGTCAACCGCGACCCCCGCCTCTCCGTCACCGTCCTCATCATGAAGTTTCCCTTCGACTCCTTCGTCGACTCGTACACAAACTCGCTTGCCACCTCCGTGGCTGCCCCACGCCTCCACTTCGTCCACCTCCCGCGCGAGGACACCGACACTGAATTCTCCTCGAGCCATTTCCTCACCAATTTCGTGGAAAGCAACAAGCCCCATGTTAAGCGGGCTGTTGCTGAGCTCGCTGACTCGGCCGGCTGGACTGGGCGCCTCGCAGGGTTCGTTCTTGACATGTTCTGCACTACCATGATCGATCTGGCGGACGAGCTTGGAGTCCCGTCATATGTCATGTTCACGTCGAGCGCTGGGTTCCTCGGCATGATGCTGCACCTCCAGTCGCTGCAAGACGAGTACCATGTGGACATAACCGAATTCAAGGACTCAGCCGCCGAGATGGACTTCCCGAGTTTCACAAACCCGTTGCCAACCAAGGTCTTACCGCCCCTGGTTCTGACGAAGGTAACAGTCCGACCGTTCCTGGAGCACGCTAGGAGGATGAGAGAGACCAAGGGAATTATTGTAAATACGTTCGACGAGCTCGAACCACATGCACTGAGGTCCTTGGCGGGCCTCGGGGCGCCCGCGGTGTACCCCATTGGGCCCATACTGAATCTGAAGGGTGAGACTAACACGAAGGCCTACGGTGGCCGCCAAGGCGATGACATCATGGAGTGGCTCGATGAGCAACCGCCTTCATCGGTGGTTTTCCTGTGCTTTGGGAGTTTTGGGAGCTTAGGCGAGGACCAGGTAAAGGAGATGGCCTGCGCGTTGGAGCGAAGCGGGCACCGCTTCCTGTGGTCTCTACGACAGCCGCCGCCGAAGGGCAAGGTTTGGTTCCCAAGTGACTTAGTGGACCCTACGGAGGTTTTGCCTGAGGGGTTCTTGGACCGGACGGCCGCCGTCGGGAAAGTGATTGGATGGGCCCCACAAGTTGCTGTCCTGGCCCACCCAGCAATTGGGGGTTTCGTGTCGCACTGTGGATGGAACTCCACCCTAGAGAGCATATGGTTCAACGTGCCGGTGGCAACATTGCCTCTACACGGAGAGCAACAGTTCAATGCATTCGAGCTGGTGGTGGAGCTGGGCCTTGCAGTGGAGATCAGGATGGACTACAGGAGGGATCCCAGGATGGAGAGCGATTTCGTCGTGACAGCGGAGGAAATAGAGGGTGGAATAAAGAAGTTAATGGAGGAGGTCGACGGCGAGAGGAGGAAGAAGGGGAAGGAGGCGAGTGAGAAGAGTAGGAAGGCGTTAGTTGAGGGCGGCTCTTCTTACTTGTCTTTGGGCCGTTTAATTGAGGACATCTTGAATAATATGCCTTAATTGAGGTGACTGCAATGGTTTTAGCAGTTCTGGTCTATGCCCGTTGAATAAAGAGAAGTGGCTTTCGTTGTGCTAGATCAATTCGTCCTCATTAAAGTCAGCTTAAAGTGGAAATTTCAGATGATTCCCCTTTTTCCTACATGTAAGCCCTCGCATCGCATAACGCTCCAGAAAATTATCAAACACCTTCTCTCTGTGCTGGGGAAGAGCCAAAAGTTGTAATAATGGATGCCACCATCGTAGCTTCTTCTTCCTTCTTCTTACTTCACTCCACCTCGTCCCGCTGGACTCTCTTCGCGCTCTTCGAACTCTTCCTCGTCCGGCACGCCTCGTTTCGGACAGCTCGAATTGGTCCCCATCGATCTTTGGGATCTCCAATCTCTCTATTCGAAGCACAGATGGCCACCGTCAACGCCTCAAAACCTCCGAGTACGCGCCCTCTCTGTCGGTGGTTGGTCCCCCCCAGTCACCCCTCGTTCTTGCGCCCCCTTGTTGCGACTTACGACATGTCGATCCGAGCTCCATTTTTATGGCGTTTTTCGATTGTTTGGTTACATTGGTGTGTGCGTGGATGCCACCATTCGCTTTGTCCTTTTCTTCTCGCACTGTTCGTGAAAATACTTCACCTGCACCGCAAGTACTACCACCTTTCAAAGAAGTTTTCGTCTTAAAGTGTCCGTGAACCATTCTACCACTATCGACAATCTTCGGATTGAAGATAGCCAACCTTTTTCCCATTCGATGATTTATATCTGTGAACGAAAACAATTTGCGATTTTGCATGAATATAGTATTCTGAAAGTTGCCTCACTCATGTGCTTCGTCCTCGCTCTCACCGTCGATGCATGAAGCATGCTAGGGTTGATTCTCCTTCAAATTCACCGGGCAAACTTACATTACGAATTAATGCGAGTGACCAAGGATATGATGTTAAGGACTGAATACGGCTATGCCCAATGTTTATCTTAACGATTTGGGAAAATTGTCCAAAAATAAAAAGTCCTAAATTTATTATACAACGGACATTTCAGCCTTAAACATTTCAACTTAATTAATTTAATCCTAAACCTTTCAATAATTTGTCAATTGAGTCATTCCGGCTAATTTTGGCCGAAATCGCTAATATGACTGTCCAGTCAATGCCAATGGTCCTAAGTAGCATTGGCACAGCCGGCGCTGATGTGGTTAATTATTTAAAAATTCTATTTTTATCTCTCTTTTTTCTCTTTTTTTCTCCTTTTTTTTATGTTTTTTCCTTTACTTTTATCTTTCCTTTTTCTTTTTTTTCCCTATTTCCCTCCACTGATTGCTAGGTCTTAGCAATGGCCGGCGGAGGTCGCTAGCCACAGTCAAGGGCTGGGATGCCTCGCTGGCCTAGATCCGGCAAGGGCTCACATCCCTTGCCTAGATCCGGTGATGGCGTCCCGTCCCTCGCTGGCCTAGATGAGAGACGTATCAATGAGGTATTTTTTGAATTTGGATTTTGGTATAAGTTGAGATAGCTGTATATGTATTTACGATGGATGTTGACACCTATTTTTAATTGCACAAAATTAATTACACAAAAATTTAGGAATTAATGTCCTTAATTCGTAAGCAAAAAATTATTTAGTTTCTAATTGCATTGCATATAGACAATAGGCATATTTGCATTAATAGGGCCTATTAGAGCATATTTTTTTAATTAATTTTCAAAAAAAATTAATTATTAATAAAAAAATTGGATCGGGCCGGGCCAAGGCTGGCCCGACCCGACCCTCTTTTCCCCCCTGCCACAGGCCCAGCCCACTCCATTTTCTTCTTCCCCTTTTGCGTGAGCTGGGCCCGGCTCGGCCTAGCTCTTTCTTCTCCACCTTCCCCGGTCTAGCCTCCCCCCTCTCTCCTCTGCTCTCCTTTGTCCTGACCCCGCCTGGGACAATGCGGATTACCCGCTCCACCACGCAAAATTGCCACGAAAGTCTTCAGTAGGAGCGGTAGGCCGGTGCAGAGCGTTTAATGGAGCAGAGAGTGGCGTCATCGTCGTCGGCTATACAGGCCAGCGAGAGGAGAGAGAGAGAGGCTGGTCGGCTGGGTTCGGTTTTGGTGAGCAAGAACAGAGAGGCCATGAGAGAGACCCGGAGAGATTGAGTGAGGCAGAGAGACGGAGACCTCTTCCGGCGACCACCGTGCTCGTACCGCGGCACAAAGAGAAGAGGAGACGATCCAGTTCGGTCGGCCGAGAGAGAGACAACAGAGCGAGAGGCCAAGAGAGAGAAAAACAGAGTGAGAGAGCAAGAGAGAGAAAAAGAGAGGTTTGAGAGTTTGCAGGGACTGAGAAGAACGTCGGTCAGCCTCCCCGTTACCCGCGGACCAGCCGGAGACCTCCCAGACGTGCCGCCAACCGGTGAGTCTCCTCCGGTCCTCTGTTTTCCCCTGTTTTCTGGTACTGTTTGATCAGGACTCGCGCCGGCCGTTTCGCACAAATCCCGGCCCATACCGTCGTCGATCCCGGTCCCCACTCGCTGTCGGAAGCGAGTCGTGGTTGCCGGAGCCGACCGAGTCGCCGGAGGAGGTCGAGAACCCTTGATTTTTGTCGCGCCCCCCACCTGCTCGATGAAATGCCTCAAAGAGGTTGGTTCGTTTTTTGGCCGCTGGCCGACGAGCGAGACGTCGGACGGTAAGAGACTGGTTGAAGAAGCTTGGGGACAATCTCCAGAGGCCAATTTTAGGCCGGCGCCGGTCTGGGTCGGTCGGCGAGAGGCCGATTTTTGGCTCTGCCGGTGTCCAGGTATGCGGTCGACCCTAGCCGGATCAGCTGATCCGACCCGGTCAACGCCCTGGGTCGGATCCGTTGACCCGGGTCGGTTCCGACCCGATCCGGAGATCCGACCCGGTCAACGTTTTGGGTCGAATCCGACCGACCCGGATCCGCCGATCCGACCCGATTTTAATATTATATTATTATTATATTAATATTTTATTTTATTTTATTTAAAAAAAGAAAATTTAAAAAATAAAAAAATTTTAATTTTTTTTTCCGTATTTACTTCTTATTTTATTATTATTATTATTATTATTTTAAATTTTCTAAATTATGTGGTGTATCTGATGTTTTAATTTAGTATTGTATTAATATGCATGTTGTTAAAATAATTGCATAAATTGCCATGTTTAATTTAGATAAGCCTATAGTGTTGTGCAGTAGTATGCTGCATGTTGTGTTATTATTATGCATGTTTCTAGAATATAATTGCATGAACTGTTTTGAATGTCGTTTGACTTAGTTAGGACTAGAACCTAAGGCTGCATATCTATTTTGACTGCTAATCGTTTATGATTATGCACTCGCATGATCACTTCACATGTTAGGAGAAATGTCCTAAAATCAATCCAAATTGCCTAACAAATATTTTCAGAAATGAACAGGGTAAAAAGGTACCGAAAGGGCATTAGTTATCCAACTAGTGTAACCAAGTCCCCGAACTCATTTAATCTCTAGTTCGTAGGAATAGGGTGATCCTCCCATCACCCTATTTGGGTTTCTAATCAACCCACCCCAAATCGATTAGTGACGATTCCTTGATATAAACCACTTGCATGTTAAAAAACTTAAACCCTAAGTCGCGATATAGTATGGGTTTGGGAGAGCCCGAGTTAAGTCCCGAACCTAAACTTAGCACGTACCAGGCGAGACCCCCTTTTTTGCATGTCTATAAAAAAAAGCGGGATGTCGGTCGCGATAGACTGGCGACTCCGCTGGGGAGTTGCATTTTTTTTTTTTAAAAGTGGACTTAAGCCAAAAAATTTTATCCTATTCAAAAATAATTTTTGTTTGGCAGCGAGGATTCCAAGTATGACCCTGACATTAAGGTGTTATTTGTTCTTGTAGGTTCAAATTGATTGTTTATGAATTGTTGTGCGTGCTTTAATGATTTAGCACTACACTGTTGCACACACAACCACGCTGCCGGACCTGGGCCGCGATAGGACTTTTTAGGATGGTGTTAAGAAAGATACAACCTCGAACGCGAGCCCGCGATGTCGAGGTTGCCTTTCTTTTCCCCGAAATTTATTTCTAAAAAATTGTAAATAAATATCTTTAGCCGTTATTCGCGTGACTATAAGATATTCCTTTCGATTTGGCCGAGGTTAAAAGACTTGACACCAACGCGAGACTGCGACGGTCAGGCACCCTTTTAACTTCATTTTGCTGAGCCAGTCTAGATAGAAATCGAACCTTACTCCTCATGTGCATGTTGTTGTGATTGCCATGGTTCAAGGAAAGGTATATATTTTATCCCTTCTCATTTTATTATACGGCCTGCTTATTCAATTGATTTGTTACTGTTAGGCCACCCGTTGATTGCATTCTATATGCGATGGGAAGAGCTGATATCCAATTCGTCCCCACTCCTGAGAAAGAGCTTCTGGCATGGTGGGATAGACGAGACGAGGGATACGCTTATTGCGGAGCTTGTCCGTGAAAATAAGCAGCTCCGAGAGATTATAGCTTCCCCATCATTTATAGAATGAGTATCCGGGAAGGGCACCCTATTGTTAAAAGCCTCTGTCTTTTATATTTCATAGTATTTATGTTTAGGGGTTTTAGTTTTATTCTTTAAAAGTATTTATGGGTTGTACTAATGTTAATATAACTCGGACCGCTTTTTATTCTATAAATAATATGTTTTGTGCCTTAATGACACCACCGTGGCCTTCGGCCCAGTGGTATCCGGAGATGAGCGAAAACGGTCCGAGGCGACTGGGGTTCGAACCCCGGGGACGCCGCCTGTAATGTTAATATTAATAAAAACCTTTTTTCTCATTTTTTTTCTTTGCAAATAAAGAAAATATGTAATAATATTATGATTAGGTCATGAAATGATTCTTTATTAGGCATTATACTCATTCATTTCAACATTTTCACAGGTAGTTACAAAAAATGGCCGAAGAAAACGTCTGTCTCGATAACATGGAAAACGAAATGAAGATGGTTTTCAATGCGCTCGAAAACCTCACCAAGCAAATAGAATCCATCAATGGCAAGCTCACGCCCACGCTTGCAGCAATTGAGGTGGTGTTACCACCACCGTCTA